TTTAAGAACATCAGTTGTTCGACCTGCTAGTCAAATGCGTTTTGTTAAAATATACTTTTTCACTCAATTGGTCTTTTGGAAAATGTTGTTTGTGCTGTATTTAGACCCCTCTACCAAGAAATTTGTTTTGCATGCACACGTATAAAAATTGGGTTTTTATCAAACGCAATCATATAGGTTTGAACGTTGTTTTCAATTTAGACCATATATATATACACGGCTCATTCGTCTCTAGCAAATTGTTATTCTCTGTTTGTCTGAATCACTATCTTTGAATTAAAAATAGAAAAAATGTTTATAGTTTCTGTGTTTCTTCAAGGATTTGTGTATTCGATTTCAGGTCCACGTACAGGTCTTTAGTATGGGTATATGTAAGCGTACTTTCATTCCGCCGTGTGTTTATTCCGGGTAACTGTTTTTCACTAGAGAATATTGGATGTAAATAGTGTGAAAGCGTCGATCTTGATATCGTTGTTTTGTTTATATTAGACCGGTTTATTGTTTACATAAATAAATGGGTTAAAATTAAAACGATTTTCAAGGAACCAGTTTAATTAATCTGAGTCAATCTAGTAAATAATATTGATGATGATGAGGAGGATATTTTTATAACTCAAAATACTTTATCAATGATCAGGACATTGAACTTGATAAAAACCAAATTTAAAGAGCAGATTTGTTCTTACATGAAGCTTCAATTACAGAAGCATCTTTTGATATTGACATAGAAGATATATGATTTAATATCCAATTCGACCGAAAAGAAAATACATAGAAAAAACTTCGGCAATCCAATAAATATAAATATTACAATTAGTGACAATTTAAAAGCATATGATTTTATAGATTTGCATAGAAAAATTATTTAAATCTCATTCGTTAAGTTATAGATATTTCATATCTTTTGAATAGTTTTGTGGTGTTTCGTAAATTATACCATAGCTTTTGTTGAAACCCCCGGCAATAACCTCACGAGACGAAGTCGAGTGAGGTTGCCGAGGGGTTTCAACAAAAAACTATGGTATAATTTACGAAACACCACAAAACTAACCAAAATATATGAAATATCTGTTTTAACCTATTGCATATGTTGTTGTTTAAAAATGTGTATTTCATATATTTTTGTTTATTAACTTCAAAAATAATTTTGATAAGAATCGGTCAAATTACCCTTTTAGGACCTTACACATTAAGCTCCGCCTACTTTATAAAATACGCACGGGCTTCTGAAACAGCGGGGAAATCAGTTGAACAAGATTTTTCGACAGCGATGGATGCACATCTGTATTGGTGACGGGTAACGTTACAGACTAAAAACTGTTGAAGGAATTATATGTTCTGTATGTATATGGACGCAAGATATAGTTTGAAAGATTTCTGGAACCCAGATTTAAAGTTGAACTGCAAAGGGTTAGTTTTTTTTTTATTTTATCAAAATATTTGAAATGTTTTTAAGTTTTTGGTATTAATTTATAATTCTGTGGAAATTTAATTCACAAGAATCTTTCTGAGAGTTTGGATGAATCATTCCATGTTTTAATTTGTACCAGAAGCCCAAGTTGTACATTTAATTTAATCTAATTAAAAAGGATTTCAAAATGATCACGATTAAAGATCATTAAAAATCACATGTAGACTATAGATAATTTAAACAAAAGTTCACCTTTATTTAGAGTAACCAGACGCTTTCTATTCTTAACGGCCCAACATTATAGTTATTACTTAAGCAAATCGTTAAATTAAGATGTATATAAAATCGGATACGGATCCAGGATTTTGAAAAGGAGGGGGGGGGGGGGGTCTAGCCATCCAATATTTGGAGTAATAATACGAAATATCTATGCATTTACCATATATAAAGCTTCTTGAAAGGGGCATGCCTTCCCCTCCCTCCCCCTTAAAAAGCCGCCACGGCAAATTTCAACCTTTACATGTAGCTATACAGTGTAGCCTAACGGACTACAATCCAAGTATACATCTCAATAACCGAAAATCGAATTATATTTTCAATTATAATATAATAATATATTTATATATACTTTTTTTTTTTAAACTTTGTTCTTGAATCGAATTTTCGTTCATTTAAAAATATAGGACAACGGAGTTGGTGTATGTGGGTTCGATTCCCACCCTAGGCATTCATTTATATCGGCTGGTGCAAAGCGGGCAGTTTAGCTTAGTGGCCCCACACTGACTCTGTTGTTCCTATTTAAAAAAATTCAGGCGGCCTCGGATAGGCCTTGCTATCTTCCTTTTTTTCTTTTCGAATACCAAATACAACAAAACCATGGTATAATTGTGAAAATTATACCATAGATAGCTATGGTATAATTTTCAGTTATTGAGATTTATACTCTTGTTGCATTCCCATAGGTTACATTGTACAGCTATAGGTTAATAAGCATTATTGTGTTATCGTGTGTTCAAAATGAGTACCAATCACTTCATCAATGAATGGATCTAAAGCACTAGTGTAATTAATCCCGCCGGGTATAAAATAACTAGTGCAATCATTCCGGTACAAATCACTAGTGTAATCATTCCTGGTTCAAAAACACTAGTGTGAACATTCCTTGAATGAAAACTCTCCACTTTTTACATAAATCAGCTATGCAATTTTTAAATACACTAAAAACTATTAAGCCACATTTTATATATATTTCCCCTTCAAAAAAAAACTTTTTAGAACCTTATAATGACTGGTGGATGTTTTACACTGGACCCGGATAGAAAACCCTAGTGATTTTTTGTTGGTGGATAAAAATCACTGGGGATTTTCTTCCTCCGGATAAAGTACACTGGCGGAATCAAACCACTGTTACAGTTATTTATGTATTATTGTCATTTTGTTTATTTTCTTTTATTTCCTATTGTGACATCGGACTCGGATTTCTCTTATACTGAGTTTTACTGTGCGTACTGTTGTGCATTTGTATTTTCTACATTGGCTAGAGGTATAGGGGGAGGGTTGAGATCTCAAAAAACATGTTTAACCCCGCCGCATTTTTGCGCCTGTCCCAAGTCAGGAGCCTCTGGCCTTTGTTAGTCTTGTATCATTTTTAATTTTAGTTTCCTGTGTATAATTTGGAGTTTAGTATGACGTCCATTATCACTGAACTAGTATACATATTTGTTTAGGGGCCAGCTGAAGGACACCTCCGGTTGCGGGAGTTTCTCGCTGCATTGAAGACCCATTGGTGGCCTTCGGCTGTTGTCTGCTCTATGGTCGGGTTGTTGTCTCTTTGACACATTCCCCATTTAGTTCCAAAAATCGGACCTTAACAGGGAAATAAAAAGACCTGAATGGACCAGAAAAATACGGGTAGATGTATATAATCTGACAGAACTTTTTTATTTGTTTAATTGATTTTATTATAAATTAAATTATATTCAAGAGAAAGACTATTTTTATGTATACAGGAAAATTTTTAAATAACAAATGTTGATGTTGAAACCTGAACCTCGGAAACCATGTAATCTAAAGACGTGTGTTCCTGATTGGAATGTATTAATTACATGAACTGTAATTCACACCTTGTATTAGGTGAAAACTGGATCATTGGTCTAAATAAACATTTAACTAATCTTTTAATTGGATTATCAATTAATCTTGTTACATAACCTTGCTCAGTTACAAAGGAGAAGGTCCGGTAAGGGCTAATTTTGGCCTAAAATTTGAAGTACATCTGAAGAAAGATTTTTGACATTTTTTTAAACAATAAAATGTCTACTTCAGTCGATTCAATTAGTTTATGTAAACGGTTTGAACTGATTTGGTCATTAAAGACGCTAAAATTTAAGCTTAACTAAGAAAAACCTATCAAATATGCCATAAACGTCACTTTTCAGATGGTTTATTATTTTATTGTCTAAAATGGAAGTGGCCGCATTCGGTTCAGTCTCAACCTTTGTATATGTTATGTATCATCATCAAATACAACCGTTATATATAAATATCAAGACTGAACACAAGTGCGGCCACTTCCGTTTTAGACAAAAAACGTCTAAAAATTAAAAAAAAAAAAGATTTCAGTTATTTTGCATGAATTAATGATGCTAGTACCTGATGCATGTGCATTGTATTGTCAAAACAGCCCATATTTATGTAACAAAATTATTCTACTTTTCAATAAAACTGAAAGTTTATATTTTTTAACATATCTGTAAAAATGCTATATTTTGGGGCCAAAAAGGGGTCTTACCGGGCCTACTCCTTTTACTATGAACTTTTTCTTTTGATAAAATATTATAAAAATAAGAAGATGTTGTTTGATCCCAATGAGACAACTCTCCACAAGAGAGCAAATGACCTAGAAGTTAACAACTATAGGTCACCGTACGGCCTTCAAAAATGTATTTTCAAGTTTATGCATGTCTTTTAATTCTCAGTTCAGGTCCAAGTCTTGTCACCAAAATAATATTTTTCATTTATAATGTTTTTTTTCGTTTTGAATCTAGATTTCAAGGAAATTCTTTGAAAAAAATAAGTAAATGAAGTTTGAAAAAATATATAAGTTGAATTTCAGGTCCATTCAGGTTTCTAATTCTCCGTTCAGGTCCGAGTTTTGTCACCCAAAACATATTTTTCATTATTTAATTTTTAATTTTAAGAAAATGTTAATTTTTTATTTTACAAAATCTAAAGTTGAAGAAATTCCATTGAATATTTAAAAAGTTATTGTCTGAATAAGTCCGACCATAGATTTTCAGGTCCGTTCAGGTCTTTTCATTTCTCTGTTTAGGTCCAGGTTTTGGCATCAAAAATTTGTTTTTTACTTGAAACATTTTTATTTCTAATAAAATGTGGATCTTTACCTTTAATAAAATTCTGACTTGAAGAAAATCCATCGGAAAATAAAAAAGTAATTGTAATTTGAATAAATCGAGTCTTATATCTTCAGGTCTTTTCAGGTCCATGTTCAGGTCTTTAGTATAACCCAAATTAAACTGGTTTCCGTTCTATTTGTTTGTTTTTGATAATTAACTCAATAGGATAAAGATACAGTATCAGTAGAAACTGAAACATTTGTGACTTTATCTGTTTATTCGTCAAGCAGATCTGTCTTATAGAATGTAAAAAGAATGCAAGGAAAATAAAAATACTGTAGGTTTATAGAGCATCTACATCTACTGTATATAATTGCCTCTTACAAACTAGGAAATTGTTCATTTCACAATTTACATTTTCATGTGTTTTTATTTGTATGTCACTATGTGTAGTTTGTCGTGCTTATAATTTGTTATTTGTTTTTAAATATCAAGTCGGTTAAGAGCTCTACAGAGCTCATGTTTACCTTGTTGAATTGTACATATCATGCCCGACTATAAATTTTTTTTTACTTACTTACTTACTTACTTACTATTTCACAATCAAAACAGTTTTATCGGTATTTCTGACAACAAACAGGTAAATAAAACAGGTCAATTCAGTTTAAGATCGCACGTACAACAGTCGAATCCCTGTAAAATTGGGATGGTTATATTAATATAGCTGTTTTTGTGTATCAGAAGGGTCTGGTGTATACTTCGGTACCATCAATTGCAGACAAAATCAAAAACCTTGTCTGTCTGAATTAATTCATTGCAGGCCTTCCAAATAGGCATGCTCTCTTAATTCTCATATTGAATTTACAAGTTTTGAATATTTTAATTAGAAGTTGAGGATTCTAATTGGTTAACCCACTTGCTAAAAATAAATGTTGGAAAACCGGATAAATTTATACATGAAGCTTTAGAAAGCTAATTAGATATCACGAACTAAATCTTTTAACACAATATTGTTTATATATCATGCATTTTTTTTATATGAGTGATAACTTGTTTTGTGGGAAAACCAAAAGATTTTAAGGGAAAAGTTCTAATTATTCTTTCAGTACGGTGTTGACATTGCCAATTCATTAAATAAAAGGATATAGGTAAAAAAATATTGACAATTGCCTGTGCCAAAAGAGTTTTATAAAACCACCATCACCTGCGTGTACATGTGTATATCTTAATGACAGATATTTGGAAGATAATAAAAACAAAAACCATTGGTATTCTAAAATTATTGTTGTCAGCTTATAAATGGATAAGTTATTAATAGGTTTGTTTCATCATACAAACTGTAAAAATGCTACAAAATTGTTTCTCATATTTTTAAGATAAGGTCAAGTTTTGAATATAATAGATCAGTTTTGAATATTTGTGATTTATAAGGTCTTGGAACAATAATATATCTAAAATTGAGAATGGAAATGGGGAATGTGTCAAAGAGACAACAACCCGACCATAGAACCGACAACAGCAGAAGGTCACCAACAGGTCTTCAATGCAGCGAGAAATTCCCGCACCCGGAGGCGTCCTTCAGCTGGCCCCTAAACAAATATATACTAGTTCAGTGATAATGAACGCCATACTAAACTCCAAATTGTACACAAGAAACTAAAATTAAAAATAATACAAGACTAACAAAGGCTAGAAGCTCCTGACTTGGGACAGGCGCAAAAATGCGGCGGGGTTAAACATGTTTATGAGATCTCAACCCTCCCCCTATACCTCTAGCCAATGTAGAAAAGTAAACGCATAACAATACGCACATTAAAATTCAGTTCAAGAGAAGTCCGAGTCTGATGTCAGAAGATGTAACCAAAGAAAATAAACAAAATGACAATAATACATAAATAACAACAGACTACTAGCAGTTAACTGACATGCCAGCACCAGACTTCAATTAAACTGATTGAAAGATTTTGTCTTCATCATATGAATATCAGGCACAATCCTTCCCGTTAGGGGTTTAGTATCATACCATCATACCATCATAACATATATGAGAAGAACATAACCCGTGTCATGACAACAACTGGTTTTTAAATAAATGTGTTTGTATCATGTGCTCCTTTTGTAACATAAAAGTACTTGGTTGCTTCAAAATTGAAAATGCCACATATGACATGTACTAGAAGTTACGAAAATATTAAAATGTTCTCCAAATATGACACCTTTTTAATATTTCCTTATTTGTTATATACATGTACATGTGTGTAAGTCATCATGATCAGTGTGTTTAAATAGTAATAAAGTTTGTTTAAATAATAAAAATTGATTTGTCTTTCTTTTAGTACCTCACCCCTTTTCATATATCAGAAGAGTATAATGATACAGCATTTCAAACATAAACAGAAGCATTTTAATTACTTTCATACATTGTAACAAAGAAACATATATATAGGACTCATATATCATGTATATGAATATAGTTTGTCTTCAAAACTACATTTATTTTTTCGGGGGGGGGGGGGGGGGGTTGTATATTTTCACAATAAACCTTGTACTTCTTTGATATACATGTATATTTATGTCTACAAAGCCTTAGGCTGCACTTTTGTATAATAGGCCTTGGAACAATTATGGTCTTTATTTTTTGTTTGCAATGAATATTTAGTCCCCAGTTTTGACTGTGTATTACATTTTTGTACTTGCAACTTTTTCATATACCTTTCCAACTTGTTTCTTCATGTTTTATGCATAAAATATCAAGTAGGGGATGAAATTACACTGTTTAAAAAAGGTAAAAACATAAGTACGTCTAAAGCTATCAAACCTAATTCAAGACCCCTTAACATAAAATTGTCCATATTTCAAGTAGGAGCTTATGACGTTTTCTATAATTACTTGTATGGTATGATTTGTCCCTAAAGTAAAACAATACTACAATGTAAAAATCTTATAGAGAAAGCGCATTCAATTTGCATTTATTGTCTAACAGAAATGCACTACGAAATATAACTGTTTTCGGGGACTGAAATTTCATTTAAAAATTAGAAAGGGAGACAACTTTTTATAGACTGATTGAGCTTACTTGAACCTCGAAAAGTCTAATTTATTATGTATACCCAAAAAGTTCCTTTCACATATTCACTGGTATCAATATTTGGAAACTTTTACCTTTATATCTTTGATAAATTAAGTACCGGTACACATTTTTTTATTTGGTTCTATTTCCTCTCTTTTTTGAAGGTACAGTGAAAACTACTTTAATTAAATATACAGCAGCTGTTAAGCAAAAGTACATAATGTTGGTTAATATGGCCTAATTGCACACTAAAACTCCATCAGTAAAGTATGAATGGAGAGAAGATTTGAACAATTGCGGAGAACATCTACATTTTTGTACATGTATGTTTTCATTTTGTAATTTACTCTGTACAAAAAAAAAGTAACAAAACTATTAAAGAAACGAATTTGGACCTAATCTTTTTTTTTTTTTTTTCCAGCTGACTAGAGTGACTAAATGATAAAGGCCAAAGTATTGATTGTACCAATTTGAATCTAATTTGGTTATGGCTAGTACAATGTCTCGTAACAGGAAGATTCCATATACCAGACGAATACAGTATGAAGAAGAAGATGACCTAGATGAACTTGATGCAAATGATATAACTATTTCAGTACCAGATAGTGCAAAACCACCATGTTCAAAACCAAATGGTTTTGATGTCATAAAAGATGGAAATGAAGATTTATCACTATCAATAACTAGTAAATTGTTGAAATGTTGCTGTGGAAATAGATGCTGGAAAATAACAGAATCTTATGACAAATCAAAATTTCCCCATCCCTTCAGATTCTTTGATCTTTTTGCCACAATTGGTTCTATTTTATTTTTCTTTTACGATGTTGTCACAGACGTATTCCTAGCTCATAATTATTACAGTTTGAAGAGATGGACAGAATTTGGATTTACAACAGCATTTATTGTTTTCCCTATGCTGGTTATAAACCTAAAAAGTCTTAGATGGTATCACCTAGATTATAACAGAGAAAAAGGAAAGGGATATACTAGTTGTATAGTATGGTTCCTTAGAGTTATTTTTACTTTTCCATTAATGATTGGACCAGTTGTCAGGTAAAGTATTTTGGGTTTTTATCATTCTGTGTACACTTACATATATTTCATGAAGAATTATTAGATGATTATCAATTTCTTTGTCTGAGTTATTCCCCTTTAAAGGCTTTTTAATGGAGAAAGCTAAATTAGAGTATTGTACTCATTTTTTTAAATGTTTTAACTAAATACACAACAATAGACCATTTATATTGATATGCAGATGCTTTGGTATTTCTATTGTACAAATTGGTACAAAGTTGTAGTGAGGTAATTTTAACAATTTCCTCTGTTACCATGGATTATACTCATGGTTTATGAATAAATCATGATAATTGTGTCATTTTCCTATTCCTTTAAATTTTTATAGTTATTAGTGTGATCTCATTTATATAAGCATGGACTGGGACTTATACATGTACAGGAATATATTGACCCAAGCATAGAGGGTAACGTTTTCTGCAGTTGTCTTAACTTATAACTATCAAAATAAAGACCTTGTGTCATTATATGTCTTGTTTAAATAGATTTTAAGGTGGTAGATAAAACAATATCTGTACAATGTCTCAGAATTCTCAGATATCAAAATATTTGTGTTTTTTCTCTCAATATAATTGATATAGATCACTGAACAGCTTATGTCAATCTATTTTACTGGTATATATTGATATCTGTATAACCTTTTTTACCATTGAAACACCTTTTCTGTGTGTTTAGGAGGGATACTCATGTCTTTCATATAAATCAAAATAAGTGAGTATTTGAATAATTTCTATATAAGAATCATTTTTACAGACATATAGAGTACTTATACCATGGTTGTAAGAGTAGATCTGCTTCCCTGAAGGATAAAGATAGGAAAGATCATTATAAACATATGTTACATGAAGATACTGATGCTGGAATGATGAGAATGTTAGAGGCATTCCTAGAATCAGCACCACAGCTAGTTCTACAGATGTACATCATACTGACAGAAACTCCAGATGATGGATTACTTATGAGTAAGAATAAATTATAAAGCTATTTATGGTTCGTCATTTCGACAACCTGAAGTTTTCTTTCCATATTTTTTTTAGTATTTAAAAAATCCCATATTGTAATGATTAGAATGGCAGATGTTTATTGCATTTTTAGAAGCAAAGTCCTTGGCACAGTTACAAATATTTCCATTTAAAATAAAACTATTTGAAATATTCTGTTTTGTAGTCTATACCTAACAACCAACCATCAAATTAAATAGGTACAGGATTATTTAGAATTGACAATACTGCAAACACAGGCAAAATTATAAGTTTAAAGATTTGTGCAACCATCACGACCATACTGATAAAAGATAATAATATACAAACAAAATGAAATGATATTGCATATATATATTTTCCTAATTCTTAGCAGATTTATACTTTTCTGACTGATTAGTTTTTTTTATAATCAATAAGTGGTATTTTTGATCTCTGTTTTTCATTGAATAAATTCTTTGAAGACCTCAAATTTCGTTGCCTTTTTCTGAATTATCTATAGTAAAGTCATGGAAAAAAGGAAACCATGCCTAATGACATTGCTTAGAAAGAATGCATTTTTAGGAGGATCATTGAAAAGAAAGATAAGATTTGTCTCCGAATCATCTAAAAATCAGTAAAGAAACAGGTTCTACCACTGAATCTTGTGGAATACAATGCTTCTCCACTCTCGACAGTTAAATTTTAAGATATTTAAAAAGCTTGGCAAGTCTCACATTTTAAATATTTAACTATAACTGTCTCAAGTGGAGAAGTATTGAAGTTTTGTATCACACTTGCTGCAGTGGTAAAATCTTTATATACACACACACATGAATGCAAGTGAACACATATTGATAAATTTTATTTTTATTTCATATATTGTTTCTTGTTATAATTACTTCTTTTACAAATAAAAGGTTATCATAGGCATGTGTTTTTGCCCTTTTACAAGAAAAAGTTTTGAATAAAAAAGGAAGGGATATGGAGTTGAGGCTCAAGAGGTAATAAGAAAGAAAGGAATATGGAGTGGAGGCTCAAGAGGGAATAAAAAAGGAAGGAATATGGAGTGGAGGCTCAAGAGGGAAATAATAGGAATAAACAATATAGCAATAGCAGGCGCGTAGCTGCATTTACGCAAAAAATCATTTGCTTGCACATTTTTTTCACCAAAAAAAATAATTCTGAAATTAAATTACGAATGAGTAGGAAGACAGGTCAAACGGGCTAACTATCCAGCTGACACTCCAAGTCAATATTGGAAGCGAGCCTTGTATTTCTCCTTTCTTGACTATTTCATTGAAGAACTCACAGGACGTTTACTGGATAATTCTGATCGTTTTCAAGGCCAGAACCTTAATTTCAATTAAATACCTGCACGTTTGGAATCTTTGACAGCAGAGTGTTTAGACAAAATATACGAAACATTTAGACACGACTTGACGGACAATCAAGAAACCTTCAACTCTGAGGTAAAGAGATGGCAGAGACGCTGGTGGGGTCCAGATGTTATAGAGTAGCCCAAATCTCTGATGTCGTCTCTAGCAGTGACTAAAAAGAAACTATATCCTTCAATAGTTTGCAATCGTGTCAATCTTAGTTACAATGCCAGTAACTACATCAACTACTGAACGGTCATTTAGTGCATTACGGCGACTGAAAACTTATCTCCGCTCAACCATGGTATAGGACAGACTATCTTCGTTGGTGCTCATACATGTTTACAGAGAAATGAATATCGACACCGAGAGAGTTCTGCGATCTTTTGCCTTGGCAAAAAATAGATATATGGACTTTGGATATTAACTTTAATTTAAGTCTTACATGCAGTATTGACATTTAATAATACAGGCTCAATACAATAACCTTGAAAACATCTAAGATTTATATCCCTCACTTACAAGTCAAGACTTAAAAGTCGCTGTTTGATTTCGTATTCCCATTGTCTGTTCGTCCAAAAGACTATTAATTCACCTTGGGTATCTGTGTCCCAAGTGACCTTCTACCGTTGTCGTAGAAACCTCAGGCTCCTTTGATTCGAAAATGACCTTAGTGAGAAACGCTACGGTCGGGTGTCTTGCAAGAAGCAGGACCTGCTTACCCTTCCGGAGCTGTGGAGGTCGCCACATTTTTTTTCGGGGTTCGTGTTTTTTATCTGTATTTAGTTTTCAACATTGAATGTTTTTGTTTGTTCTTTTGTGTCTTATCTGTTCCCGGGTTGGTCATGTGTCCATTGATTGCCCTTTTATTGATAAATGCTTCGGTTGACTTGTCGACTGATCTTCCCGTTTTATAAAATTTATTTTATATTTGAAAACAACCATGTTAATAAGGAGTAATGTGAATTTCATAAGCACATTACAAGACTTATGCTTGCACTTTATTTTAGGCCAGCTACGCCCCTGAATAGGACTGGCATTTTATTATTGGTGTTCTTCATCTTGATAGATAAATGAATTGCTATTGTGTCAGAAAATTCTATTGCAGTACTATTAATTAACACTTGCCAAAAAAAAACCTTTTTCAGATAAAAAAAATTTAATGTTTAGATTTAAAGTAAGTTTGACTGTTCATGCAGAGCTCTTGGGATTATTTTGGTGTCTAGGGTTGATACAGGTGTGATATTGAAAAAGCCGTATGATATTCTCTATTTATTTTACAGGTATTATTCGTCCCGTTTCTATGGTTGGATCCTGGATTGGTGTCTCCTGGTCATTGGTATCATACCACAAAGCCCTAAGGGCATCACATAATGAAGAAGAAATTGGACTATCATTGTGTGGAACAATTTTCTACTACATATGGAGAGCATGTGAAGTAGGCCCTAGAGTTGTTGTTTTAGCATTGTTTGCATCACAATTTCAGTTTTACATGTTAATAGCAGTTGCGGTTCATTGGGCAGCCATGTCTATATGGGTAGCTTTGCAAAAACCTGAATTTTATAAAAAGACTATTGATAAAATTGTATTTGACATTGTTATAGGATACGTTCTTATATTCTGTTTTCAGAATGTACAAAGTGGCCATACACGTTACAGAGCTATGTTGTATTACTTTGTAATATATGCTGAAAACTTAGCCATGTTAGTAGCATGGCAATATATTACAACCCAAAAGAGTGAGTGGTATTATTTTGCTGCTTTGGGAATAATACCTGGAGGTATTATCATTCATATAGTTGTACAGTTGTTATATTATAAATGCTGCCACCCTAGAAGTAGGGACATTGTATGTTGTATAAATCCTGTACAGAATTATAACTGTTACCAATCTGTTTGTCATGAAATAAAGACGAATGAAGAGTCGAAAGCTGATACTGGTGCCTACAATGGACAGACATTTGATGTTTAATGAATGCAGTATATATTAGAAATCATTATTCGTTATAATACATGTACATAATGTTCATGTAGGAATATTAAATATGTATGGTGATTATGGTAGCACTAGTAGATATACATGTAGAACAGTATTATACTCCCAGGAAATCTCAATAGGTCAAAGAAGGGTAATTTTTATACCCTTGCTTCTATCCATGGTGTTATAGTTATACTGTATACATTTGTGAGTGTTTACATTTTTTTGTATATATTTTTTCTTGCACTTAAAGTCATATGGAACGAGTTTCTTTTAATTTTAATGTTATCGAAATTATTGAACCAATGCATGCATATATACAAAACTAAGTCCTGTATGCAAGTTATTTATATTTATTACGTATCTAGACCGTATTATCGACAAATATTATTTCATTCGGTGAGTGTTGGTCATAAGCTAATTAACTTTCGAGTTTGTTGCGAAAGTTTACTGGATCGTGTCATTGATAAACAATCAACACAGAGCAGGTGGAGTACGTGACAAATGAGTGAATTCATAGATCCATGATGTTTTTTTTTTAATATTTTCCATGCGTTACCACTTGTTAATTAAACTTTTCCTAAACAGTTGTTGTATGATTTGTTGTCTTTAAATGTTCTTTAAGAATCAGTTATTATTATTTACCTTCCAGTGCACGTTTGTTTACATTCTTTCATTACGGTTTTCCCTTCACATTTCTGCTGTGCAGTTGCCGAAGTTCTAACAAGAGGTCTCATAGTTAAGGTCACTGCATACAGGAAAATATCGGCCAATTAGTGTATGGGAAGACAATAATTCAATAGCAGTACATTTATGAAGATTCTGATAATATAAAGGATTTTCTTTTACAAAAAAGTTCACATACACTTGTTTCATAGTAAAACTTATTAAAATTTTTGTAGTTTTATATGATTTTAAAAGATAGAGCAGGTGTATAAACAGTAGCTAACACTACATTTTCTTTAAATTTAAATCAATAAAAGATTATATATTTGTTAGTTGTCAGAAAATAAGATTCAGAGATACTTGAATTTGCTATTTTCTGAAATGTCTATAAAAAAAATAATTCAGCAGTAAACCTATACTTTAAAATAAAATTGATTAATGAGTTCCTGGTCTATTATTGATTATCATTAAAATTTGTATTTAATGGATAATGTGTAGTGTTGCATGAATGATAATAAGGGTCATCTCCTGTCTGTCATGCTTGTATTGGTACTGGGTTATGTTTCAGTTAATCCTAAAATCATTGACATTTTGATATGTGGATGTTAAGATAGGCTTATTGGGTCCAACTGTCAATATTTTTTTTATTTCAACCCATTTATTTTTATATGCAATGTATTTTACTTTCGCCAAATGGTTTTTGCTTGAGTTCATTATTTCTTAGTTATAATTTTATTTAGGATACGGGTAACTTTTTAAAACTTTTTTTGTTTTTTGTTACATTTGATAGGATTTCATGATGTTTGAACAGATATTGTAGACCGCTTCTTTAAAATTGCATTTGCGTGCATGGCTTACATTTTGCACCCTCCATAGCTGTGTTTGTTTTCATCATATATTTCTTATCAATTTTCCAGAACTCAAAATTATTCAAGATTCAAATAATTCTTTGTTTATATGCCAATGAGACAGTAAACCAAGGACCCAACAAACAAAAGAAATTTAAACCAGTGGAGTATTTTTTGATATGGGTTTATTGTTAAAATGTTTACATGTTTAAACAAATATATGTAGAAGTTGCAATAATTGTATACCAAAGAACTCTGGTCAAGTCATTACATGCCTTTCACTTACAATAAGATAGGAGGATTTCATGTAAATTTGAAAATCTTCCGTGAGCAGCAGCTGTCAGAATTATTATAAAATTGATGTTCTTTTTAAATTATTCATGCATATTATCTTAAAAGACCCATATGAATTCACTGTAGTCAAAACGCTTACCACAAATGGGGTTTGAGATCCACATCTATTCAATAGATGAGTTTCCAATTTCCTTTTTATAAATGAACTGCCCCAGTTGACCTGGGGTCATTCGGGGAAAAAAGTCATGGGACATTGTGACTTGAAGATATTTGCCTTGTGACATCAAATATTTCTGCAAAAATGCACTAACTGTATTGGCATATACATATATATTAATGATTCTTTCATCAGAAATTTACTATACTTTCCACTTGGGCAAGAAATGACTATAGGACATGTAAAGTGGTGTAGACATAATGAAGGGGATTTTTTTATAATTCTTATATGCAGTTTTTGTCTGGCCGGGGAGATTAGGTTAATCTTATTTAGACTTGTATCTGTATTATTAGTTGACATAAATTACATTTTAAAAACCACAATTGTTGGAAATAACTAAAACATTGAGTTTTGTCAAGGTGCTAAACTGTTATTTTTGTATGATCATGCCAGTCATTTTACATTGTATATATACTGTATATGTGTAGTGGAAAGCACACAAATATTTTTTAAATGTATTTGTTGTTGTTATATATATGTTAATATTTTAAATCGAAATTATTGCTGCAAATAAATCTTTAGAAATTAAGTTATTAATGGTGCCAAAATTATTTTTATTCTTTATATTTGTTTTTGATTTCAGATAATAATCTCAGACAGATGTCCTCACTTTTTAATGTTAAAAAGTTTTAATTTATAAAAATGACCATTTATCCTATGAAAAAATGGAGCATCTGATTATGCTTCAGATCATATAAAAACCTGTAAAAAGTATAAAATTGAATGTATTTTTAGGGGTAGGGAGGAATAATAAACTAGTTTAAATGTACTGTTTATTACACATACATTGCATTGTTATATTGGATTCAGTTGAAAACTTTGGTAGATTCAATTGATAAAGTAGAAGGTTCATAAAGGGTCAAATTTGCCCTAAAATTCCATGAAATTTAACCTCAACAGTTAATATAAACATTTAAAAACTTAAAGATGTCATAAATAATGTCATAATTGTGCATTCTTACAATGAAAATCATAATTTTGACTAATGTTTGGAACATTGCCCACATGCATTGATCATAATACATATTATTTAAGGATGTTTATCTCATCTATCTTTTTATACCAAATTTATTTTGGTAAAAGGGTGTGGCTAAAGTTTTTAGGAAGGGAATAGACCTTTGTCCGTTGTTAAACTGAAAAACAGCTAACAACTGGTGATATATTTTACCTTAGAAGTTGTCAAACTTGTCAAAAAGAAATATTATACCAAAAAAAACGTTTAATTTATTTGAATTTCAACATTTTAGATCATAAACATTGGATGTAGATAGGATATTAAAAAGTTAGATTGTTTGGCCAAATTAAGGACTCTGTTGCCTCCTTTAAAAATGAGAAGTACTACATGTAGAAAGCGTTTCCTTTTACCAATCTTCAATCATAGTTGAAAATGTTCCCATTTCAAGGGTTTACTGTAAATTCATTTATTGTGATGTATTAATTAATGAAAAAATTGTGACATGATGATATTATGTTGTTTTTGGAAATGTTATTTTATTTTTAGTATAGTCCCATGTGAAAAAGCATGATATTTCTTTTTTTATCTGCTGTCAGAAAAATGAACATGGCTTGTATTATATTTTTTATAATATTTACAATTTATGCAATTTGTGAAGGCTTCAATGATCCCACTGATATTGTATTGCTTTGCTCTGTGTTAAAACAGTTAAATGCAAGGGAGACTTCTAACGTTTTAATGTCTAAACTGTATGCAATTGATAAAAAAATATACAGATATACATTATATCTTACGTTGACATGGAACTAAAAAAAATGGCACAATTAATTAAGAAATTTACAAAAATCTTAAAAGATCTTTAACTACCTTCAGTAATAATATATTGTATTCTATACAAGTAAAGGATGAGCTACAATAAGAGCTATTATTTTCCCTGAATTTTTCTAAAATAGTAAAAAAAAGTCAAACTTTTGAAAATTGAGTAAAGTAGAAGTGAAATCAGTCTTAAAAACTGATGTATTAAACATAATTTAGGTAGCAGTATAACTGGTAAATGCTGAATCTATGTATTTCATTTAAATATTGCAATCTTTGTCTAATCATTTCCTCTTCAAGAGTAATGCAGTATATTTTTGCTTAAAATCTGCTAACGACATGATTTTAAAATAAAAGTAACACTCTAAGCCTTTTTTTAATTCACTTGAACATCTAAGAGCAAAAGATCTTTTGCTATTATCTGAATGTTAATTACAAGATATCTGAATGAGGCTAATTTGTCAGTTTTTGCAGTTTTTACCTTAAATGCAGGCCTAAAGACTTTTTTATACGACCGCAAAAAATTTTTGTGGGGGGGGGAAATTTTTTTTTCATTTCAGATTTCAGAAATTTTTTTTTTGGGGGGGGGGGGGGGTCAGTACCCAACAGCATAGTGAATTTCACAAAAGCAAAAAAAAAAGGGGGGTAAATTTTTTTTTTTTTTGGTTGGTTGATGGGGGGGGGGGGGGGGGGGTCAATTCGCAACAGCATAGTGATTGCACAAAAGCAAAACATTGAATATAAATTCAAATCATAAATAATTCTAAGTTCTTTGACTACAGTTATCGGTTTCAGAAACCTATTATGTGTCAAATATTTAATTACAATCCAAATTCAGACCTGTATCAAGCGCAAATTTTGTGACCATTTTCGCCCCAACTGTTCAGGGTTGGGCCTCTGCGGTCGTATCCAGCTGTGCTCAGTGAAGCATTTTATTTATTGTTATCTGGTAGACTTATGGCTTGTGTACATTAAATATCATAGTAGATTTATAATACATTTTGATTTAAGAATTCAAGGGACTAAAAAGTGGGATCAGGTAAATAGTTTAGCATATAAAACGAATATCCAGAATGGTTATTAGATTAGAAAAAGAAGCAATAAAAACTGTAAAATAGTAAATATTTTGTATTATACTATCCTTGCATACTGTAGAATTGTGTATTGTCTTATGAAAAGTGTTCTATTATGTTGTTTTTGAGTGAAGTCAAAGCTCTTTAGAGCTTTTATTATTTGTTGATAAATAGCAATGTCAACTTTAGAATAAAGATTTTAAAACTAGACTTTTGCAAGAAGATAAAATTTTAAGTAAACTGAACAAGACTATATGTCCATATGACACCTAGCCCTGCTCGCATTATCATATTTCCATGTAAAGAGAACTGTGAAATCTGTGTCTAACCCCAAATTTGACATGTTTAAAAAAAAGTTCACAGCAAAATGAACATTTATACAAATAAAGGCAATAGTAGTATACCGCTGTTCAATAGTCATAAATCGATTTAACTGAAACAAATCTGGGTCACAAACCAAAACTGAGGGAAACACATCAACTATAAGAGGAAACAAAACGGAACAACAGAAACACTCAACTGCTAATAAAACAAACGCCAACATACATAGAAACAGACTATGAGATAACAACTGCCATATTCCTGACTTGGTACAGGACATTTCAAGAAAAAATTTCAAGTTGATGTGACCACAACTTCATGGTAAACTACCTTAATTAACAAGTTCAACTGATATGTGATGGACAGACGCACTGACTTGTAAACATAATGCTTCTCTACTATTGTAGGCTGTGTATAAGAATTACCTTTGGGATACTTGAAAAAAAACATTTAATTGCGGTTCATGGTTACTGGGGTTTCTCATGAAATGGTATGACTATTTTTATATGCAAATTTTTGAAAAGGAAAATGAGTAAAATTCTGGTATCGACTTATTCCTATAGAGTATTAATAAAGTGTTAATAACTGACATTCCATAAATAGAATATCTAGAATTCCATAAATTATTTCTATTATTATGTATATAATGTATAAACATGTCCTGACTACATACTGCAACGCAAATATTTTCCCCTCGAACATAACATACTGATTTCTGTCAATAACAGGTACTGACTATTTAATGGTGGCTTTATTCTTATGATGTTTTGGATAGAACATAATGTTAGAATTATAATTCTTAGGCTACCATAAATAGCTTCTAATGCAATATGTAAATCTAAGTAAACACAAACAAATTATATTAGATTTTAATGCTATTGCACATTTATGCTGACTACAAGGCAAATGATCCAAAATCGATAGTATACTGAAATAGTGATCAACAATTATGATAATATAGTAGCTCAGAAAGGGCTTATATTAGCTATTATTTTCATTTGACAACCGTCACCTGTCCGTCGTCGCCTTGCTGTTAAATTTTTTGAGCTTTTTCTCTTGAACACTAAAGCCAATCGAAACCAAGTTTGGTCACAATCATTCTAAGGGTCTTGAGTTAGATTTGTAGCTGTTACAAAACGAAAGACAAAAGAAAAAATCATCTCAAAGAAAGAGGTTTGACGAAGTAAATGTAAACAATAGCACTTTAAATAAGAGGCGAAAGATACCAAAGTGATATTCAAACTCATTAACAAACTGACAATGTCATAGCAAATAATGAATAAGAATCAAAAGACAAACAGTATACAAAACACAACAAAGAAAACTAAAGACTGAGCAACACGAACCCCACTTGTAAAATGCAAGGCAGGTAAGAAACAATTTTAGAATCCAATTAATAAAATATAAATTAATTGTAAAATCAGAAGTCAATTGAAGTATACGAGATGGTTTTTTTCTTTTGTGATTTGTTTTTGGTTCCCATTGCAAATAGTACATACAAGTAAGAAAAAAAAATAATCCAATACGATACCTTAAGTGTGACTTTTATTATGTATAGCCAACGTAAGGCTGATATCGTGATCGTTCTTGATTACACAAGGTCATATTGTCAAATCACGATTTTAATATATATTGTAGAAATTGTCCGACTTCAACAATGCTTGGATCTTGTATTGGAGTCTCATGGTCGTTGGTGTCTTATCATAAAGCTCTCAGAGCCTCGCGTAATAAAAGAGAATATGTTCTATCCTTGCGTGGAGTGATTGTCTATTCTATCTGTAGAGCTTGTGAAGTTGCACCTAGAATGAAACTATTAGCATTAGTTGTAGCTCAATTTTGCCATCAGATGCTTGTAGCAATAGGTATTCATTCGATTGCCATGTCATTTTGGACAGGGAGTCAACATTAGGAAATGAATTAAACAAAGAGAGGTAAAATTGCATTTAGTATTATAATCGGATATGTGTTGACATTTTGTTTCCAAAATAAACAAGACGGCAAACACGATACAGAGCTTTCTTTTGATATTCTGTAACATTTGCTGAAAACATCAGCATGTTATCACTATTGGAATATCTTGCACATCATAAAAGGGACAATTTAACTTGCTTCTATTGGTACTGTAACTTCTTTCATGTTCATTCAGATTATTGTCCAATTATTGTATTATATATTCATTCATCATAACCATCATCATATAGAACTAGGTCCGAACAATAAAAAATCGTTATGATTTTTCATACCAATATTATTTTGGTGACTATACATGTTGTCATTGTTTCATTTCTGCTCATCACATGAGGATAGTCTTTACAACACGAATACAGAAAGCATCGACATTACCTGTTTTCTCATACTATTATTTCCATTGTTGCACTGAATTTTATTAGTGCTTTTTTAAAAAATTTTTCGAAACTTGAATAATAAGCTGTTAAAACATGTAAAATTTCAAAAAGGTATATATAAATATATATAAATAAGAAGATTTAATATAATTGCCATTGAGACAACTCTCGCCAAATGATGTAGATGTAAGCAACTATAGGTCACCGAACGGCCTTCAACAATGAGCAAAACCCATAACGCATTGCCTTTTATAATAGTCCCCAAAATGACAAATGTAAAACAATTCAAACGAGAAAACTAACGGCCTGATTTATGTACAAAACAATAAACGATATACAACTATGATATACATAAACAAACGACAACCACTGAATCATAGGCTCTTGACTTGGGACACGCAAATACAGAATTTTGCGAGGTTCGAGGTTAAACATTTTTGCGAGCACCCAATCCTCTCCTTAACCGGGACATTGCTGTTTATCATAACACAAGAACAAACTATAAAAATCAGCTAAAAAGTGCGTTACTCATCAGATCGATGCAAATCACTAAAAACTAACAAAATTACAGACACGAGTACAGATCTGAGAGTTCTGAAAGCTAATTCAAAGCCAATAACAACTAATTAAAAATCAAGTATCTTATCTAAAATATTAATCAGTACACACCCAACATGTAATGGATTTAGTGTAAAGACATCATAAACAGTTAGAGCATATAGATAACCCTGTGCAATGCCAAAATATAGGTGTCTATATGCATAGCAATACTATTTAAATTGGTTACCAAATCTTTGTATCTATGAAAGAAGGTAGTTAAGGTTTTAAGTAACGATATCATTGACTTAATAATTTTCCAGTAATACATGAATTACGTTCATTGAAATCCAAAACGTCACAACAGACACGGGGTTGGGATATATAAACACCGTAAGATGGGGACAAAAGAACATCACCGAATCTACAACAGCGATTCGGACGCATGAAATTATAAAATGTTATTTTCTTTTTTTCATAGCACTGGGTCGATACGCTGCTGATGATCTATCAGACCCCGAGGTATACATCAGCTTAGTAATCAGTACTTCGGTACTGACATGATTTATAACAAACATTTCTTAAATTGTCCGTTTAGCAATTTAGAAATAACATGTATTAAGAAACCAAGATTTCATCTCCCTCGAGTAAAGTTGACCTTAGATGGATTTGGCTATTAGTTTTATATCTTTTTGTCATATAGCTCTTCAACAGTTTCTGTTCTTATAATCCTTTGCCTTCAAATATTAGTATTTGGCTTTGAGCGATCCTGATGAAGGTTATCCAAAAAAAAAAAATTCGGACGCATACATTTGTAAAGTGATATTTTCATTTTTTTTTAGCACTGGGACCGATAATGCTTCTGGTGTACTGTCAATCCCCGAGGGTATCATCAGGCCAGTATTCAGTTGTTTGGTACTGACATGATTTATAACAAATTTTCTTACATTGTCCGTTTATAAATTTATAAATTATTAAGGAACTAAGGTTTCAACTCCCTCAGGCAAATTTGTCCTTAGATGGGAAATGCAATTATTTCTTAGGTTGTTTTTGGCCATATAGCTCTTTGACTGTTTCAGTTCTTATACATCCTTGGCTTTCAAATATTCGGCTTCGCTTTCAAATACTCGGCTTTGCTTTAAAATGGACATTAACATTTAATGTTTTTATTGTGGTTGGTTGCTTATTGTTAACCCTTACTGTGTTTTACTGTCATATTACAAATTAATCAACATCGCTCTAAGTAATTATTTTAAAAATAGATTTGAATTAATAAAAACAATAAATATGGGAACATTAGGCTTAATTTTAATTCAGCATCATATGAATAAAGGAATAAGTCGGCAAGAAAGGAAGCCAACCCAAATTCGATAGTAGAAATATTCCGTAAACTTGTGATTAATGCCTTCGTTTATATTTGTATTATGAAAAGAAAGTAAAACTCACAATAAGCTATAACTTATTCGTGTGAACTTAACTTCTTCCCTGGAAATTTAGGTACTAATAACAGGGATACTCGGAGTTGCGCTGTAATTTAGTAAAATTGTTCAGCAGAAGTACTATACAGTTTGTTTTAACGTTAACGAAATAAACAGAGAGCTGACTATGCGGTATGGGCTTTGCTCATTGATTAAGGCCGTACGGTGACCTATAGTTGTTAATTTCTGTGTCATTTGGTCTCTTGTGGAGAGTTGTCTCATTGGCAATCATACCACATCTTTTTTTTTATATGGCTCCTTTATTCGGCAAAGGTAAATCAAAATTTTCTATAGAATAAAAATCTTTATTTAATTTCTTTTTAGGCTTTGCCGCGCGATAATTTATTTTCAATCTCTTTCTCAACCATTTCCTGTGTTGTCCTGTAGTTTGGGGAACAGAATATTTATTTTCAAACCATGGGCAACGTTACTTATTTTCAGTTATTGCAAGGCTAGATAGTTCATTTTTAAAATCCTCCTCTCCAATGGTCGTCCTAAAAAGCAAAAAGCATATGCTCCCCTAAATTTGTGCAGTCGCCCCCTTTATGAGGTCTTTTAATGTAGCTATTATTGAAAATCAGGAAAAATATGATCAACAAATTTTATGGAGGATCAGAGAATATGTGTAAAATACATCATTTTTTTTAGGAATAACATGTTATTACTGGAATTTTATGGATACATGAAATCCCCAAAATGACTTGGAATTACACGTAATTCCTGAATGATCGAGGGATTACTGGTAATCCCTTATTATGCTTATTTACTGTTAGATATATTATATTTATCCTACTTCATGTCAAAATTCCCGATTTTGATTGGTTAATACGAGAGAGACAATTTACTCTATCCCATGGCAAATACTCTATTACCCTTCACGGAGACGCTTACTCAAGTGTGCGCTTTAATAAATACGAATGATTGTTATGTACAAGACGACATAGTTTATTACTTGAAATTTGAAATTCAATAGAATAGATGGTAATAACGGAACATTCAGTATAATAAATTAAATAATACATATCTGAGGGGATGATAGAGCAGATTGTTACCCCTCGAAAAGACATTGTCAACCTTGGCTCCGCCTCAGTTGACAATGTTTTCTCGGGGTAACAATCTGCTCTATCACCCTCTCAGCTATGTGATATTCATATACTTTCATTTTAAATACTTCGATAACGTTTTTAATGTTTAAAAAAATTCATAATTCATTCGTTTCAGACGATTAGACATTTTAAATTTGCCACGTCTGACATGTTTCATAATGAAAGGATTTTTTAATACATGTAAAAAAAAGCAATAAATTTTTGTCATCAGAATAAGTTTTTCATTCTTGCGTGGAATTTTATATCAGATATGTTTACATTAATACAAAGTATACAAAATAGTTGATATAAGCAAAGAACCTTCACACAAATTTCCAACAGGAAATTTAAAGAAATGGAGATTGCCGCCAATGATGAGGACGTTGAAGCAGCTAAGCCATTGCTGATACGTCAAACAATTAGAGAAAAAGAACATGACGAAGATCCTACTGAACTACACAATGACTGGGACATAAAATTTAACGCTGACACAGAAGAATTAGTTTTTTCTTCCTTTGTTTTAGATAACGGTCGACCCCATTTGGACAAGGATAACTTAGACGCGAATGAGATTTTGGAGGATTCATTATCAAATAAATTGCTAGATTGTTGTTGTGGTGGTAGATGCTGGAAGTATTCAAGTGCATTTGACAAAAAGGAATATCATTTGCTTTTCCGTGGAAAACATCTTATAGGAACCATCATCTCAAACATTTCTTTCTATTATGATGTAATAACGGACATTTTTCTTGCCGAAGAATACTTTCGCCTAAAAAGATGGGTTGCATTCGGCTTTACGGTGACATTTATTGTCTTCCCACTTCTGCTATTGAATTCAATAAACATAAGTTGGTACTTTCGTGACTTCATTGCAGAAAGGAGAAAAAAGTCTAAAGTCACGAAGTTTTCAGTTTGGTTTTTGCGACTGTTCTGTTCTATGCCATTGCTATCCGGACCTGTTGCAAGGTAAGCAAGATATACATAGTATGTTTGAACTGTATCATTTCATTTGACCTTTCTGTACGTAAAGTGATGGCAAATTCTATAAAGTATAATAGCATTTTACCAAAAACACTGTTAATGAAATGTTACGGCTGTACTACATATGAAGACATTATTTGCATTAATTAGTGTAGTTGCTTTAAGCATTTTACTTATCAAAATATTTTTGAACAACATTTTTCATCGTAATATAAATATACACACACCTTTCACAGAGTTCTTACGGTTATACATTGCAAGATCTACAAACGAACAGACATTTACAGAGCTACATAGACTATTGCCTGTACCATGTCATGAATATGACAGTTGTTTTCCATTGTTTTCCATTCGTTTGATATTTAGATTTTGTCATTTTATAAAGGACTTTCCTTCCGTTTTCAATTTCCCTTGGAGTTCGGTATTTTTGTTATTTTACTTTTTCCTTTTGTGGACAATAGCGGTTGACAATTTATATATAATAAAATATATGCAGATGAACAAAATAAAGTATTTTTTGTAAGTATGTGTACACACATTGTTCCTATATATACTTGACAATTGAATGAACTGTGTTGCAATGTTTGCATATAATGGACAACTTCATATAATCATCATTTGAAAGACAAATGAAAAAGCAAACGAAACTAATGCTTACATCTGAATGGTAATACTTCTTGTGACTTTTTGTTTAGACGCTTTTTATCATTGATCGAAGTATGATGACCATCAGGTATAAAAATAAGAAGATGTGGTATGGCTATGATTGCCAATGACGCTACTTTCCACCAGAAACCAAGTGACGTAAAAGTTAACAAATTTAGGCCACCATACGACCTTCAACAATGAACAAAACAACCAAACCATAAAAGGCCCATACATGACAAATGTAAAAAGTTAATAACAAAAATACCGAACCCCAAGAAAAATTCAAAACGGAAAGTCCCTTATCAATTGCCAAAATCAAAAGCTCAAACACATCAAACGAATGGAAAACAACTGTCATATTCCTCACTTGGTTAAACAATTCAAACGAGAAAACTTACGGCCTGATTTATGAACAAAGCAATAAATGAAGCTGTCTTTTTTTATTTATAAGGTATAATTTCGATATTCAGGTCAATATTTCATTATTTATATGTTCAGTTACAGACATTGGATTGAAAACAATTTGAATCGCGACTCATTGATGTTTCACACGGGTTATGATTTGGGTTACAATGTTGCTGTTATTACCAGGCCATTAACGATTAGTTATGACAGTTTTGCTTTAGGATACTATTCGACTATGACAGAAATATGAGAAATTTAAATTCATTCAAAGAATATCTTCTGATAAAAAATTAATTTTAAATCTGCATATCTTATGTATACTTCTAGGAGCATCGAGTACATGCATCATGGATGGAAAAGCAGATCTGTGAACGCCATCGAACTTGACGTCAGATACCATTACAAAAAGATGATATATGAAGATACTGATGCTGCCATGTTGAGAATGTTTGAAGCCTTTCTAGAGTCTGCTCCACAACTGATTCTACAGATTTATATAATACTGACAGAAACTCAAGATGACACAATAATCATGCGTAAACTAGTTTTAAACTTTCTGTTTCATTCAAAAATAATAACGGAATTTTACTGAAAATGTTGTGGAATAAACTATTTCATGATGGTTTTCTATTCTTTATGAAAATTTTTGTGGTTATACCAGAAGCCCATACTGCAGGGTAACTTTTAACAGATCTCTACACATTGGGAAGGTTTGGTTATGGAAACCTAATATCAGTCCATGTTTTTGTTTAAGATGTTTAACCAAATAAATGATATGACAATCTTACTCCAGTTTTGTGAAAAAGACTGCCCAAACTTTATATATTCTCTGTTTATTTATCAAATCAAACTATATTTGAACCAAGATAAAACAATTTTTTTCTTGTATTGTAGATATAGTTCGAGGATTTGCTATTTCTGGATCCTGGATGAGTGTATCAGGTTCGTTAGTATCATACCAGAATGCTTTACGGGCATCCCATAACATTAAAGGCAGTGGTCTATCAACATGTGGCACCATTTTATTTTACCTTTGGCGAGCATGTGAAGTAGGATCAAGAATGATAGTCTTCGCAGTATTTGCAGCATCATTCAAATATTATATGTTATTAGCTATTATCATTCCTCACTGGATAATAATGTCTGTATGGGTAGCATTTCAAAAGCCTGACGTGTACACGAAAACATTTTACAAAATTATATTTGATGTTGTTCTAGGGTATATTTTAATACTCTGCTATCAGAATGTACAACATGGCCGTACACGTTATAGGTTATTATTTTATTATTTCATTACATATACGGAAAACTTAGCAATGATAGCCGCTTGGTATTACTTCACCTCTCACAGAGATGACTGGTTTTACCCTCCTATAATAGGTTTTGTGATATGTAGTATGTTGTTACAAATTATAGCACTGTTATTATATTATAAGATGCATCGTCCCAGAAACCATCATATCATTTCTTGTCTTAACCATAGAAAAGACGCTGATAATACATAACTCTTCTTTGTTGACAATACCCAATAAACAGTTGTACTTGAGATGCAAAGCTTTTGTCGATGTTCCTAGTGTAATGAAAGTCTCGATAAATAATCAGTTAACAACGAAATAACTTTGCTATCTCTTTTCTTGTGTCATTCACTACCATTGCTGTTGTTAGGAATATCCTAAATGCTTTCAAAAAGAGATAGCTGAAGATTATTTATGACTCTATAGCTATCTAAAGAATTTTTAAAGTTTACTTGGTAATATGAATCTCCATTGTTAATCGTGTTGTAAGGAATCATCAAGAATCTTAGAGCTGAACACGTTTTCAATTCTGAAATTTCAGGACCAAAAAGAGAGGCAGATGATACCAAAGGGACATTCAAACTCATAAGTCGAAAATAAACTGACAACGTCATGGCTAAAAAAGAAAAAGACAAACAGACAAACAACAGTACACAAAAAACAGAGAAAACCAAAGACTGAGCAACATGAACCCCAACAAAAACTAAGGGGTGACAAGGGCTCCGGAAGGGTAGGCAGATCCTGCTCCACATCTGGCACCCGTTGTGTTGCTCATTTAAGTATACACTCGGTAATATGTCGAATTCGGTAGGTCACATTCGGGGAAGGGGACGAGATTGTAGTTAAGACAGTTGAAACATATCCGTTGAAACCCATTTAGTTTTTTAATTCTGATTTGTATCAACAACCTCACAGCCTTAACCCATTTCAAAAGAATATCTACGTCTTCTTTCTCGCGTTTAATCCATTTCCTGGCATAATCCTCGACTGAATCCATCAGTATTTTGAAGTTGTGTTTGACAATGGTAAGGTCACCAGTAATAACCAGCCGGATTATATATGAATGGGGAACAAGCATAGATGCAATCAGGAGCTTAAACTTGAAGTCGATATAATGGAGATCCCGCAACACGTGTTTGTTGTTGAAAGTTTTAGGTTGAAATTTTTTAGTATAGGTATAAGAAATGATAGGTCCAGACTGATCTTTAAAATAGGGAGGTATTTTCGATTGAACTTATTTATGATGAAGGATATTGCCCAAGTTGATGGCATCAAGACCTTTCTTGGCGAAGGAATGTTTGAGAAAGGTTCTTGTCTCCTTTTCATCTTTTCCTTTTCGAACTGGTTTTAAAAGTCTGTGACTTGCAATATCCGAGATTATAGCTGTAAGTTTGTATTGGTTTGAATAAGGGTTTGTAACAATGGTTTCCAAACATAAGTTGTACAGAGAATGAAAGGAGTAATGAATAAAGCTTCGTGCAAATGTGATAAATACCTTACGATTTTTGTATAAAAAGCAGCAGGTCATTGATGGAGACATCATTGAGAGTAGGTGTTGTATAATGACGGTGACCATGACTGCGTTTACGTCGAGGAGTAGAGTTGAAAATTTTCATCACATTCACCGAGCTGCAGGAAGGACTAGATATAATACCTTTACCATCAATTTTGTCATTGCAAACATATGGTGTCGCATTTCCAAATTGTCGAATCCAGTATTTTTTTTTTGTTTACGAAGAGGTGTTGCAAACCTTGCAAGATGAGTATTGTTAGTCATGTGGTATATTTTTTACGATGATGCGAACTTGCATAGAAAGGATTGAATGCTCAGGCTGATTGAAATGCTGGTAAAAAATTTCGCTTGCATTATTGTTGATGTCTGATCTATGGCCGCAATACGTTTATCAAGCCTTCCTTTCGTTTCACCGACATATAGCAATCCGCAAAGGTTACACTCTAATCTGTAGACGAGATTTGTTGATTTACAATTCAGAACATCGTAGCTTCTGGTAAAATAAGATTTCTTAGTTAAATTGCTAGTGAATTGAGCATCTGTTATTAAAATTTTACAAGTTTTGTAGTTTTTTGGTTTTACATTTCGAAAGGAGACAGTGTTGTTCAGAGTCACTAAAATCCAAAATGTTTAGTAAAAAACTGAACACGGCCGCGTACGAAGATTATTGCTTATCATTAGTATGATAATCTGAATGTGTCATATTTGAGATATATGTCATGTGATGAGGGGACACCTGTCGTAGTAGACGACACCCTGACCATGGTGCCGTCTGTTTCGGACCTTTTTATATTTATCGTCGAATGTTCATGCATATTATGCTACTGGGCGGTTGATGTCCTCGGGGACAAAATGTCAACTAGCAGAGATATCGACCCAGTGGTAGTTAAAGAGAGGCGAAGGATACCAAAGGGACATTCCAACTCAGAAGTAGAAAATAAACTGACAACGTCATGGCTAAAAAAGAAAAAGACAAACAGACAAACAACAGTACACAAAACAACATAGAAAACCAAAAACTGTGCAACACTATCTCAATCAAAAACTGGGGGGTGATCTCAGGTGCTCCGAAAGGGTAAGCAGATACTGCGCTACATGTGGCACCAGTCGTGTTGCTCATGTAAGTATAAACTCGGTGATATGTCCAATTCGGTAGGTCACATTCGGTGAAACAGATATTCCATAACTATCAACATATTCATGATGGCGTCCGTAAACTCTCGATTTAATAGTTTCATTGTGAGCAGCAACCCTCTATCAAGGAAATCGTGATAGGAAACACACGCCCTGGAATATCGTATCATCTGGGAGATATATACTCCGTATGCAGGCGATGCTGGAATATTGCTTCACAATTGGTAAGCTGAAATCATCTCTTTTGTCGTAAATCTTTTTTTCAACCGACCAACAAATTGATTAAAAGAGTTCACTATTTCAAAACAAAGAGACCGATAAATAATGGCTAAAGTATTCGTGAGTCCGGCAAATGTATCATAAGCACCTTTATATAGTCCAAGAAATGTCATAAAATAGAAAAAAATCTTCAACATTTGTTAGTTCTGTCTATAAATGATAGGATTAAAACAGTTATGATGTCATAAACATTTTGAAATTGACATATTTGACATGAAATGTCATAGTTCTTGGCAAAAGAAAAATACACTGGCCTTATTCGAAAAGGATATTATACCTGCATTAACATCATTGCATAAGATAACAGGTAGCAAATATCTTTTTTTTTAATTTGAATTTAAGGGGCCAAACATTTGCCTCATCATACCGTTTCCTTTGAGCTGCCTAATAACGTTCCATCGACAGTGGTCACTTCGTATGTTTGTATGTCTATGTGCCCTGTAAGCGCATCTCCTCATGAACGACAAGACCGATATTGATGAAAATTTACACATTTGTAGAACACTAAATGACGATATGCATAGAGCAATATTATCCCGGTCCAACATTTTAAGGGAGAGATTCATACAATTTTATAGACTCGGGAGCTTTTATTGTATAGAAATATTTACGAAAACTGTATGTTGCCCTATACATGCCTTTTTGTTATTTGTGTCGTTGACTTACACCTTACATCTGTTTTTATTTATAATATAGAAACGATAGCACAGCTTTTAAAGTTATCTATGAAATAAAATAATCAAAATCAACGATACCACTCGGACCTGCTAACTTTTCCCCTATATTACTCCATACAAATTATATCGATAATCCGTTGACGCCCTTGCCATTCACAGATCAGCGTACAGTGTGAAAGTTTCCAGGAAACTTAATAAAAAGCAGACAGCATACATCGCTATCAGATATGCAGATTATTTAAAACTTTTTGTACAGTCTTAAGGTAGATCATAGGTATATATTTCTTGAGATAGAATTTTCTTATACTTTGCCAAAATGAAGATTTAACTATGTTTTTTTCTAAAATATAATAAAAAGTATGAGTCACCGTGCTATTTTCCAACCTATGAGTCGTTGAAAATTGCCTAAATTTGGTTAGATTGTTCATGAAAAAACACATTTGTGTGCATAAAAAAAAATGTATGAGATAGAATTTTGAAATAAATTGTGAGAAGATAGGTTTTATTATATGTTTTAAGAAAATAAAAAGAAACAATGGTGTCACCGAATTTGTTTTCTTGCTACAAGTAAAAATTAGAAATTTCCCTATCAGTCCAGTATATATTTTTTACTAAAAGAGTTATCTCCCCTTAAATGGCTTATTTGAAAAAAATGATTCTTAAAACACAAAATTTGACATTTGTTTAAATATTTTGAGTTATACAATAAATCACCAAGATTTCTTTAAATAAATAAACAGTCTAACCAATAAATTGCAAATCTTACTTCACATTTGCAGATTTTGGCAAATAACTAGACCGATTTTGTACTGGGATTGTACAATCCAAGATGGCGGTATACCATGAATCTACCTTAAATGGTTAAGTACGACTATTTGTATGGTTAAATCAATACACATTCTGTATGGTATCTGTTACTTCAAGTACATTTTAAACATTATTTCCGATTAATTGTATGATAAAAAAACAAGTAAAACCTTATACAAAAGAAGAACCTATACCCATTCTTTATTTCTTACTAACATGAGCAGGATACGACAGATACTATTATGTAATATGCTGATGAGATAATTTAAAATTATAGAAAATTTAAAAAAGGAAGTGAAGCAAATTTATTAAAAAAAAACGTATTTAAAAGCATGAATAGTAGA